TTTCCTAATAGAATCGTAGAAGTGCGGGTAAACGGCGGGAGTAACTTTTAGTAACCTTGCCAGCGCTGGGTTCCCAAGCTATTTATATATATAAAGCTGTCATCTCTGTTTGTCTGTTTGTCATGAACCCTTAGACCGATTTGCCTCAAATTTGATTGGGAAACTCAGGAAACCCACAGGAATGTCCTCAACTTGGTTTTGAGATTCTTAGTTGAGTGGGTCGACATTAATAGCGGAACGTCGTACGTATAAGTGAGGGGAAACGGCGGGAGTAACTTTTAGTTTCCTGAGAATGGATTGAATACATCAGATCAAAACAAAATAAATGTTTGTTATTTTTGTAAAGTATTCCCCATACAATAACTGTTCTTATCAATTATCTTAATAGTTTTATTTTTCTCAACAATGTTTAAAGGGACAGACCGGCTATGTAAGGTAGTTGAACTGAGTATGCAGTATTGTGGAAAGCTTCTTTAGGATGCATTTGAGACATGAAAACTTTTTAAAGATCTGTAAATCCTGAGTTTTAGCGCAAATTCGACGTTCAAAACTCCTACTTTAGGGGTGGATACGTTTCCAGAATCTTTTTTTTTATTATTAAATAACGACGACAAAAAAAGTAAGCAAAACTTTACAGTAAACTAATTAGTTGTTTAGAAACAGGTTGAGAAAATAAAAATTAATCTTATCATCGAAAATAAGTAATCTTGTTCAATTATTAGTTTCTATTTTCTCATTATTCTAGTTTCTCATTATTCACAAAGATTTTCTGCAGATTTTCTGGAATTATTATTGAAAAGATGACATTCGAAGAAATTACGAATAAATTCAAAGAAAAAAAGAAATTCAATATAATGAGGAAAACGAAAAAATTGATTCTAGCATTGATTTATTGACAAAGGAACTGAGTCTTTGGAACAAAATCAAATATTTACACCTCAATATCTTTAGAACCGGATGTTGTAAACCTTTGATATTTCAAACTCAGATTATTTGATCTAACAGAATTCATAACTTGAAATATCTAAGGTCTGTAACATTTGGTTTTAAAGATATAGTGATTAGAAAATTAGAGTTTGTGGCAAAAACTCAATTCCTTTCTTTTTAAAAAAATGTTCCCAACCATCTAATTAGATTACTGTATGATTTTTACTTTATTTTTCGTCGTCGTTATTTAGTAATTTAAAAAAAACCGATTCTGAAAACGCATTTACCCCCAAAAAAGGAGTTTTGAACGTCGAATTTGTGCTCAAACTCAGGATTTACAGATCTTTAAAAAGTTTTATATGTCTCAAATGAATCCTTAAGAAGCTTTTCACAACACTGCATACTCAGTTCAACTACCTTACGTAGGCGGTCTATCCCTTTTAGGACGACACCAAAGTGCAAAGATTTCAATTTAAACAACCTTAGTAAACATCATTTCTAATAATTGAAAAATAAAAAACTCTTCAGGAGATATTATGCTGGAAGAATCAAAAAGGTTTTTAAATATCAGTTTTTACAAGAAGCTAATTCGATTTAAAACAATCAGACTCCATGACCCAATTCAGTGTTGTCACATAAAGCAAAAAATTGGACAACATTTTTTAAATGTAAAGTTTGCATGGTAATTAGACATTTATTTTCTTGACTTTATTTAGAAATAAAATATTTTAAAGCTTGAAACAACGAAAACTTTTGCAATAAAGTCAAAATGAGAAAATTAGTTGACAAGAAGTCTAACTATAATTTATAAACCTGCAATGTTTCAAAATATGGTCTAAATTAAACAAACCAAAATATTTTATTGCTCTCTGAAATATTTGGACTGTTCTGTAGGCCAAAATTGGTTGCAAAAGATTGTAAATTGCTTTAACCTAGAATACAGAGATTCTAATTTATAAAAATATATCCCCTCCTCTTCTTTACTGCTTGTTTTCCATTTTATTCACGTTTGTTTCTTTCCACGTTATAAGATGCATCAATAACAATGTTTGTTATTTATTTAACAAGTATAAAAAATATAAAGATAAAACTATTTATGAACATCATCAAATTTGTACGGAATGAATGGTTAAGGTTTCATATTAAATAAAACAAAATGAAACATAAAACTTCAAGTTTTGCTCTCCACTTGGTTTTCCTTGTTTAATTTTCTTTGTTAAACTATATTATACCCTTGCTAAGCTTCATTCCTCAATCCTATCCTATTATTTTCTCTGTTAAACTATATTGTACCCTTGCTAATCTTCATTCCTCAATCCTATCCTATTATTTTATCTGTTAAACTATATTGTACCCTTGCTAAGCTTCTTTCCTCAATCCTATCCTATTATTTTTACTAAACACAATACTAAACACTAAATAGTATCCTTTCTATAGTACCCTTTCTAATATTCTTCTTAATTTATCGATTACATTACTTTCTTATTGAGAAAGATTTAATAAAAAATTTATGCAACAAGTAACACTGGATACAATTGCCATCTTTACAAGGATGGTCACGTGAAATATCGCTTACCTTTAACCCTATCACAGTGAGGGGGGAGGGCTGTCCCCCCCTTGTGTTTTTTTTATAACGTAAAAACTATACCAGAAATGCTCAAAAGAATTGAGTTTTTGCCACAACCTCAAGTTTTCTAATTTCTATATCTCTGCAACCAGTGGGTTTGATATTTCAAACTTAGATTATTTGATCTAACAGAATTAATATTATCTAAGGTCTATGACATTGGGTTGCCAAGGTATAGGTATAAGAATATTTGAGTTTGTAGCAAAAACTCAGTTCCTTTCTTCACTTATTCAACTTTAAAGTTGATAACAAAGGAACTGAGTTTTTGCCACAAACTCTGGTTTTGTAACCACCTCATCTTTGCAAACCGATGTCGTAGATCTTTAATATTTCAAACTCTGAATTATGAAAGATCAAATAGCCTAAGTTTGAAATATCTAAGGTTTATACCATCAGGTTGCAGAGATATATGAGATTAGAAAATTTTAGTTTGTAACAAAACTCAGTTCCTTTTGCAAAAAAAATTTAATTTTTCTTTATCCAAATTAGAAAAAAATACAATAATCGGGATAAGGTTAAGAAAAATAAGTGATAAGACTCTAAACACTAAATAATCATAATCTTATTGTATCAGACACACTCCATAATCACTAAAAAACATAAAGGTTTAATGTAAAATTACTAAAATTAAACTTTCTTATAAATACTAAAAGTTGAGCTTTACAATTTGCTCTTTAGTTTCCCTTTTTTAATTCGTGTGTTAACCCATACTTAAATTCTTACCTCGACCCAATCCTAATACAATGTTTTACATTCTTTTAAAACTAATTTCGGACAAATTTTCTTTTAACCATTCTAAAATCAAACGTTTTTATGTTGGTTTTAGGTAATTTCCCGAAGTCATTTTCTCATGGGCGACTTCCCAAATGGCAACTTCCTAAACGTTAGGTTAGGCCCTCTGAGGCACCGCAGGCTGCAATGGGGCGCCGAGCGCTGCGTCTAGGGTCCGAGCACAGTGGCTGGGGGCCTAGCTCTCTGGCTAGGACGAACTTGGGAGGTTACTGCTTGGGAAAATGTATATTTGGGAAGTGGCTACTTGGGAAATTCCTTTGGGAAAGTATGTTGTTTGTGCTGCCTCTTATATTCTTTTATGTCAATCCTGTCCTAAGTTATCTACTAATTCTAATATAAAATTAATTTTTAATTAAACTTATAATAGAAATTTGATAGAGTTGGACGCTTGTAATAAATTCAATACATTTTCACTAACTATGTTTTTAGGGATATTATTCGAATACGTTTATCGAGATTGTATTTTTCTTTTCTTTTTCATTTACATATTGGAAATAAATGCATAATAAGGGATGTCAACTTTAAAAACATTTTTATTTTTAAACTTTACAAGCATGTAAAACAAGAAAAGTGTCTGTTTAAAGTACATTTATTATAGCTAAAATATAATGAGGACTTTTAAATTGATTTTTACACATACATTTCATTTAAAAGTTACTGTCCAAAGGAACTACAGTTAAGTATGTAATATAGTTGAACATACCTAGATGAATTACGTTGTACATTGTCTGTAAATCTAACTGCGCTAATCCTTAACTATGCAAAAATTGAAATGCGACTAAACTAGCTATGTATTGCGATTAGTTTATCTACGATGATGCATATCTGCGCAAATCTTGTAAATACGTATTAACTTAACTTGTAACATAGATTTCTAATTATACACATTAGTTGGTTTGGCATTGATTGCTGAAGAGCTTGTGTCTGTTTTGACGTTGAAAGCTGACAAGATCTAGTCCATTGGTTTGGCATTGATCGCTTGAGAGCTTGTTTCCCTGTTGACTTTGATAGCTGACAATATTGTGCTCATTGATTAGGCATTGATTGTTTATGAGCTTGTTTCCCCTTGTTGACATTGATAGCTGACAATATTGTGCCCATTTGTTTGGCATTGATTGTTTATGAGCTTGTGTCCCTGTTGACATTGATAGCTGACAATATTGTGCCCATTTGTTTGGCATTGATTGTTTACATTGATAGCTGACAATATTGTGCCCATTTGTTTGGCATTGATTGTTTATGAGCTTGTGTCCCTGTTAACATTGATAGCTGACGATATTGTGCTCATCGGTTTGGCATTGGTTGTTTATGAGCTTGTTTCCCTGATGACATTATTAGCTGACAATATTGTACCCATTGGTTTGGCATTGATCGCGTGAGAGCTTGTTTCCCTGTTGACATTGATAGCTGACAATATTGTGCCCATTTGTTTGGCATTGATTGTTTATGAGCTTGTGTCCCTGTTAACATTGATAGCTGACAATATTGTGCCCATTGGTTTGGCATTAATTGTTTATGAGCTTGTTTCCCTGTTAACATTGATAGCTGACAATATTGTGCCCATTGGTTTGGCATTGATTGTTTATGAGCTTGTGTTCCTGTTAACATTCATAGCTGACAATATTGTGCCCATTGGTTTGGCATTAATTGCTTATGAGCTTGTTTCCCTGATGACATTGTTAGCTGACAACATTGTGCCCATTGGTTTGGCATTGATCGCTTGAGAGCTTGTTTCCCTGCTGACTGATAGCTGACAATATTGTGCTCATTGGTTTGGCATTGATTGTTTATGAGCTTGTTTCCCTGTTGACATTGATAGCTGACAATATTGTGCCTGGATTGATACAGGTCTGGACACGGCATTTACTACAAGTATGTTATCTTGTTACTGCACATAAATACATTTTACATACTTTAATATTCAATATGATACTATAACAACAAAAATGATAAATATTGGCCGAATTTTATGAATTCGGGCTAAGTTACGTCATTAAACTGCCGTTTAAAATTTGAACCACCTATTCAAAGGAAAATGATTCAAAGGAATTGAGTTTCAGCAACAAACTTACATAATTCTAGCCCCCATATATGTGCAACCTAATGGTGTAAACCTTTGATATTTCAAACTTTTTGATCTACCAGAATTAATTGCTTGAAATATCAAAGGTCTAGGAAAACGGGTTGCTAAGAAAAACTCAATTCCTTTGATCCAGCAATATGCAGTTCAAATTCTTTTTTAATTCGGTCCAACTAACTTTTTAAAAATTACAATTAATTTGTTTAAAAAGTTTGGAAAATAAATGCTCTTGAATGCTAACCAGGACATCCAAATTAGCAGAGGTTTGGTACCATTCTAAACAAATTAATAGAGAGATCACAGTTTTTTTTTTTCATTTAATTCAATAATTCTAAAATCTGCTATATAACTTTACCTTCAATTGTTTAATTGTATTTGTAGAATGATGAATCTTATAGCAACCATTATACACACTGCTATTTTATATCTTATATTTGAAGACTTTAATGGGGTTAATTGACTGAAAAAAAAACATTATTAGTTTGGATACAGGGATGACCAACTTACATCAAAACCAGAAATACTGCTAGGGATTTTAAAATTTTGAAGCATTATTTTCCTGATAATGTGTCTTTCTGGGATACATCAGTTTTAAAAGCTAAAAATACTGAATCCTCAATTACAATTATAACTAAGCTAGGCTTTTCGGGCGCTTTTAGCTCATCTTCTATTCCATTTGTAAACATTTTTTCTTTGTATACAGTAGAAAGCAGTTGAGGTGTCAACACCTCCTCTCTCTAAGGGAAAGCATGCAAAATGCTTGCAGAATATATTCAGGACTAGAACAAGAATGGGTTCACACCCTTTGCTAATGGTAGATGTCAAAGTCTGCTACAGTCAACAAGAATGGGTTCAAACCCTTTGCTAATGGTAGATGTCAAAGTCTACTACAGTCAACGAGTATGGGTTCACACCCTCTGCTAATGGTAGATGCCAAAGTCTACTACAGTCAACGAGAATATATTTCTACTTTTGCTGAATCAATATGTATTTATAAGTTCAATGAATGTATTCCTGAAAATGTTTTGATTATTTAAGTGCTGACTGATTATCTACTTGTAAATGCACAATGAATGTATATTTTGTCGAGTTCAATATTTATAGTTTGTTTTAACAAAAACGATCAAACAAAATTATCAAACATTATATTTTTAATTGGCTCATAATAAATTTTCTTTTGTGTTTTATTTTCAGCTGAACCATCAGACATTATTATTTTGTATTTTGTGTTTGAAAATAAATACTATAACTATAACATTGTAAATTAAACAAAAAAAATTGCGGTTTTTATAAAAAAAATTGTGACGAATTTTTGAAAATTCGATTATCCATAAACCTTCCCTGGGGTCATGTGATGGCCCACACAAAATTGGGGCCTGATCGGTTTAGCCGTTTTGACGTTTAGGAACCCCTCTGTTCTTTCTTGTGAGGGACCCCTCTGTTCTTTCTTGTGATTTTATGTAAGAATTATACCTCGTAAAAACATGTATTGGCATTGAATGAATCATAAAATGTTATTCTATATTATTGCACTCTTAGTTAAACTACCCTACCAAGCCATCACTTACATTAATGCTGACATTAACTACTTTTATCTTTTATAACAACTTTAGTATTAGTAACTTTATCTTTGACATGAAATTAGTTAATAAGAATCATAAAGATTAATTTATTTGTTTTTACAATGTTCTTTTATTACTGCAGCTTTTTCTATTATGTTTATTATTATTGTTTATTCTTTGTAATTCTTGATTATTTAAACCCTAGTAAATCAACAATGTTTAAAGCTAAAACTAATTCAAATTACCTGCTTATTCTTTGATTGCTGCAGTACTCTTCAGGCTCCCCAATTAATGACAAGCATTTTACTCAATATTGTTCATTTTCTGATATAAAGTGTGCAGGGTGTATGTAAAATGCAAAAAGTGCATTGACAAAAGTGCAAACCTACCATTTTCTGCAATACATTGTGTTTGACTTACACCACCAATGGCAAAGCAATATCTAGAAAAAATTAGAATTTTAATGTGTCCAATTTTTGTTAACCCTATCCCCGCTGGGGTACTTGAAAACCAGGATACGCTTGGGGGAATAGTGAAAGTAAATGCCTTTCCATGGTTAAATGAAAATGTAATTCATTTAAGTAATCACTGTATTACCCGTAAAGCAAAAAATTATACTATTTTGTAACCTTACAGGCTGATGGTGTAAATCATTCCATATTGAATCTCGAAGAATGCTTTGTTTGAAATTTCAAAGATCGTAATATTGCAAAGATATTATAACAGTTCGCTAAGGAATTATGTCTTGGCCACAAACTTAAATTTTCTTTTTAAAGCTTTGATATTTCAAACTAAGATTATTCTTTTATTGGGTTGCGAAATTAAACATATGTTGCAACTAAAAACTCAGAGTTTAAGTATGATAAAAGTAATAAGTTTCTGTAAAGTTATACCTGCTATTTGTTTCAGAATCCCCTTCCTTTATGTACATACAACTATCCCGACAATTGTACTGGCTTGTGTCAGGACCCATCTCACTGTTCAGTAGAGTACATAATTTGAACCGTCATGTAGGGAGTATCATTAATAATTCACAAAGGTACCATCATTTAACAGATATTTTTTTTCGTTTTACGCTATTAACAATGATAATAACAAAAATAGCAATAATAACAACTATAATAATAATAATGTGAAAATGTCTCCAAAAAAATCTTTTAAAATGGTACTTTAGAACCGAAAATTGAAAAAGGGCTCTGCTACCCCTATTTTACTGTCTTATTCAAATATTTGCAGGAAAAAAATCGCAAATTTTATTCAAATAGACTGCGACGATCATATAGTTTTGATTAGCCAAACTGACGACATTTGTTTTAGCTTATACATTAAACATTATTGGTAAATGTAAAAAAATCTTTTATAGCTAGATATATAAATGTTTCATTTGAGCTGATCTAATACATTCTCAACCACTATAGTTTCAGTAGAAGTAAATAATTCCATTTACTGTATAGAGCCGATTGAAGGATTCATAACTCTGATTGGATAATGGGACAGATAGAAAGATAGATGTTACCGCCATACTATTTCTATTGGTTCAGAATAGACAACAAACACATGACTGAACCCTGATTGGATCAGGCGCTAATGTACTCGGCATACAGGAGCGCAATATCTTTATAAGTTATCTTATTTCCAAGTTTTTTTTCAGAAAAATCCTATTTTTCTCATAAACATTTTTCTAATTAATTAGTGCCTTTAAAATCTACGTTTTTACTCAACAGTGACAAAATAAAAATTATGTCAAATTTAGAGACTTCTATATAGCCAGAACTATGCCAAAAATTATCAAATTATTGAGATATCTGAGGAAAACTAATGAATAAGCTAAAACAAATGTCGTCAGTTTGGCTAATCAAAACTATATGATCGTCGCAGTCTATTTGAATAAAATTTGCGATTTTTTTCCCTGCAAATATCTGAACTGTACAGTAAAATAGAGGTAGCAGAGCCCTTTTCAATTTTCGGTTCTAAAGTACCCTTTTTAAAGGACTTTTAATTAAGTTTTCACATTTTACTCCAGCCCCCTAGGAGCAACTCCAAAATCCTGGGAGCACTCTAAAACTTGGTTAGCAATTCCAAAACCCTGAGAGATGCCACTTCTCCCAATTTAAACCCCACAAAAAACAGTTTGATTACACTTCTTAATGAAAGGGGGAAAGAGGATTGTATGATTTGGATTTCATGAACGTGAACCAAATCAAACTATATTTATCAATTATTATTATGATATTAGAATCTCAGTAAAAAAATTTCCTAAAAATATGTTCCAGATTATACTCATTAAAAAATGTCATTTTATAACTTGCAATAAATGACAAAACAGTTTACTGTATTTAAGTTTATGAATTTAATATATTTTAAGTTTTCCAGTTTAAATAGATTCTATTTTTAGATCTATTTCTTGCTTTGTTAAACTAAGTATGTATTTACAGCTGAAAACTAGATTTTAAACAGCTTTTTGCAATTATTAAACCTGTGCACACCTTTCTTCTGCAAACTTAAACAATTCATTTAATACAGGGTGTCACACGAAAATAAATTTCCAAAAGTAGTCTGCCTTTTTGTGCTTTAAACATTACCAGAGATATTAAGACTTTCGTTCAGATTACAATTTACATAAAACCAAGATTATCGAAATCTGAACAAAGTTCTTCATGTCTCTGATAATATCGAAATCTGAACAAAGTTGTTCATGTCTCCGCTAATATTGAAATCTGAACAAAGTTCTTTATGTCTACGCTAATATTGAAATCTGAACAAAGTTCTTTATGTCTCAGATAATATTGAAATCTGAACAAAATTCTTCATGTCTCCAGTAATATTGAAATCTGAACAAAGTTCTTTATGTCTCCAGTAATATTGAAATCTGAACAAAGTTCTTCATGTCTGCGCTAATATTGAAATCTGAACAAAGTTCTTTATGTCTCCAGTAATATTGAAATCTGAACAAAATTCTTCATGTCTCCAGTAATATTGAAATCTGAACAAAGTTCTTCATGTCTCCGCTAATATTGAAATCTGAACAAAGTTCTTTATGTCTCCAGTAATATTGAAATCTGAACAAAGTTCTTCATGTCTGCGCTAATATTGAAATCTGAACAAAGTTCTTTATGTCTCCAGTAATATTGAAATCTGAACAAAATTCTTCATGTCTCCAGTAATATTGAAATCTGAACAAAGTTCTTCATGTCTCCGCTAATATTGAAATCTGAACAAAGTTCTTCATGTCTCCGCTAATATTGAAATCTGAACAAAGTTCTTTATGTCTCCGCTAATATTGAAATCTGAACAAAGTTCTTCATGTCTCCGCTAATATTGAAATCTGAACAAAGTTCTTTATGTCTCCGCTAATATTGAAATCTGAACTAAGTTCTTTATGTCTCCGCTAATATTGAAATCTGAACAAAGTTCTTCATGTCTTTGCTAATATTGAAATCTGAACAAAGTTCTTCATGTCTCCGCTAATATTGAAATCTGAACTAAGTTCTTTATGTCTCCGCTAATATTGAAATCTGAACAAAGTTCTTCATGTCTCCGCTAATATTGAAATCTGAACAAAGTTCTTCATGTCTCCGCTAATATTGAAATCTGAACTAAGTTCTTTATGTCTCCGCTAATATTGAAATCTGAACAAAGTTCTTCATGTCTCCGGGAATATTGAAATCTGAACAAAGTTCTTTATGTCTCCAGTAATATTGAAATCTGAACAAAGTTCTTTATGTCTCCGGCAAGCAGAAAACATTTTGTAAATGCCAGAACAGAATTTTTTATCAGTAGCTAACTATCCTTTTGAAATTATATATTTACAAACCAATGCCACAATATTTTCTAATATCAATGAAAACCTTCAACTCGTCTTGCAGTTATATCCTTTTCCGTGGGACACCCTGTACTTTAAATGTTAACTTTTTTCGCTTTGAATGTAAAGGGGAATTCAATTCAAATTATCATCAACGATCACAACGGATTTGTATCTTTAAAATTTATCATAGCTCTACATGATATTAAGGTTTTAAGCATAAGAAGTATCTCTTTGCAAACATAGTAAAAAACAAGGGGGCAGAGATTGCTTTTATTAAAAATAATTCTGTACATACTGCATTGTCGATGTTAAAAATTAACAAACTCAACTTAGAACTGTTGAAACAAGCCAAAATCCCTGTGGTTTTCTTACAATTCAAAATTCAAAATTTCAGGCAAGACGGTCAAGCTTGGACATTCAAACAGAGATTACTACTTTATATTCATAGAAAATATCCTAAACCTGAAAATGTAGGTGTCACCACCGTTGAGTTTTTTAGGACAGCATTCAGCATTCGCTAAACCTGGAGTTAAAAAATATTTTAAATGACAATGTCAATTATGAATCATGATAAAATTTTTAATCGAAAATGTGTAATTATGTTAAAGGTGAACAAAAAAATAATATAAAGACTTTCATCAAATTAGGATATCAGATTCCCCCTATGTAGAATCATGCACCCTTAATACATTCTCAACCACTATAGTTTCAGTAGAAGTAAATAATTCCATTTACTGTATAGAGCCGATTGAAGGATTCATAACTCTGATTGGATAATTTGACCCCAGAATCCAATCTCCATGAACTCTGTATTCTGTAGTTTTATAGTTTGTCTAGCTCTAGCTCTAGTTCTACACATTAAATACTTCAAGAGAGTGTAAATGCTGTCCCCCGCAGTTTTATTGTGTATAAAAAGTGCATTAAAATAGAGAAAATACTCTTTTCTGTTTATATAGAACATAATTGTCGAAGCAACTGAACCGATTGGGTCCAAACCTGCACGGGCCGATTATTTTAACTTAATTACCTTTGTATTTATACTATCTATTCTGCAAGTTAGCAAAGACTATTTACTTTTTTTAGTTAAGTTTTTGAACTTGACGCAGTTTAAAGATTAGACACGGCTCAAACATGGTTGGTTCAACATGGAATTTTAATCAATGTTATGAGATTTGCGGTTCAAAACGCGGCGGTTCAAATTCATTAAATTCGGCCTTTGGATTTAAATTTTCTTTTAACATTGATATCGAACAGTTTACATATTTTAATTCAGACGTTTTAGTGAACACAGCTATTGTTTTATATTGAGAGATAAAGTTCAAAATTATTTAATTAAGTGAAATCATAAAATTTTGTGATTTGGAATTGAGTTGTATTAATTTACTCAGAATCTTCAATCTCATTAAATGATTTTATTTTATATTTACTAAATTTACGAATTTTTGGAATTGTGATATTGTGATATGTATAATATATGAAGAGTAAAGTAGATAATACCTTTAAAAAGAATAAGTATAAAGAAGATAATACAATTAAGAAGATTAAGTATAAAGAAGATAATAACAATGACAATAGGAAGAAAAAAGAAGATAATACCAATGAGAAGATGAAGAATAAAGAAGATACCACCCATGAGAAAATAAAGAATAAAGAAGATAATACCTATGAGAAAAGAAGAATAAAGAAGATAATACCAATGAGATTATGATTAATAAAGAAAAATAAAGAGGATAGTACCTATGAGAAGATAAAGTATAAGGAAGATAAAGAGGATAGAACCTATGAGAAGATGAAGAATAAAGAAGATAAAGAGGACAGTACCTATGAGAAGATGAAGTATAAAGAAGATCATGTCTGGCCTCTTCCCTGAGTCAGAGTGAAGCTTTAATCTTGTCTTTAACTTAAAGCACAAGTGTTCACTGTTCATTGTTACAATTACAATTATAAACAGAGGTTGAAACTTTGCTGTGAAATAGCGCTATAATATACGAATACTCACACATGATCTTGATATCCACAGTCAAAACCAGGATAATGTGGTGTTTAAATAATTTTAGTTATCAATTGATTGATATGAATTTCAATGACAGGATAGAATAAGTCTAAGGTATCCAACGACCAAAAAAACGTACATCTGCTTCGATCTTCCTTGGATTCAAAAAAAAAACATCTAACCTCAGGAATTAGGGTCTTTTGTGAAATCAGGCAACTATTTCTTGTTACGGCATGAGTAATAAAATTTAAAACAATTTTTACACAACTGCTTCTTTTATATTCTCAACTGAATATTGGCCATAAATGCGTAGTTTTTGTTTCTTCATTCATAAAAATTTAATAAAAGTTTTGCCTTATTGCTTTAAAAAAAATTTTTTGTAAAAATGTTATTTTAGTAAAGATTTATTCAACACACAACAAATAAAGATTGCGAATGACAAATGATATGCTTATTACATACTTTCGAAATAAGTAAAAAAAGATTTAGGTTTCATTCATGTGTAAAATAAGTTTTTTAATGTCCTTTTTTGTTATGATATTTATAATTATTCTGTGGACACTGTCCATTGGACAGACTCTTCCAAAGATGACAATGCCCGATTCACAACAGTACCCTGAGAACCTTAATCTAATCAATCTGTGGACGATATTTTTTAGGTTTAAGGTTTTTAGGTTCCTGCAGCAGAAATGCGCGAGTCAATTCTGGAGAGGACTCACAATTAAAAACAATAATTTTTTAAAATTATTAATATGGATGTTTCTTTCCTAGTTTATTAGACACAGATTTTAATGTTACTTATGTGAATCGGACATTGCCATCTTTGTAGGATGGGTCTCCTCTCAGTCCTTTAAAACCTTTTTGTATGTTTGTATGTGAATTTTATACATTTTTGAATTATTGAACAATAACGATATTAATACTCCCTTTAAGATTAACACCTTAACTGGATTCTTATTTAAACTCGTACAGTTTTTGTTTTAAAGTTGTAATCAACCTTTAAACCTGAAATGAAATATTCAGTACCATACTTTAATATTAAATATTTTTAATACAAAATTAATTATTATAATTAGGTTATAAATAATTCTTTTAAAATTAAATTACTTTCATATTTGAATGCGATTAAATATTTGTCCTGGTTTTTATATTTATTAAATTTATTTTAAATCGTTTTAGAATTGAGGGGGGTCAAAACATTTGTTGTGTGTTAAGAACAAAAGATTGGTATGGCATTATTAGTTATGTATAAAATATTATTTTTAAAGATTTAAAGAATTAAACATCACTTGTTATAGAATTATAAGCTTTTAATCTACTTAAAAATATTATCTAGAAATGGGCCAGTGTCCGAATTTAATTAATGTTAGCCGCGTCTTAAATCCCCCCAAACCCGGTTTCAATTGAGCGCCGGCTTAAAACTTGAAAAATTGAATACAATTTTAAGTGGGACCAACCATGTTTGAGCCCCGGCTTAAATTTAAGTCCCGGCTCAAATTCTTTAAATTCGACCTCTGGAGACTTTAAGTAAAATTTAACTAAAATAATCAATGAGATATCAAAATTTATAAATATCTAATTCAATTTGGGGCATTCTTATGTAGTTTGAATATCCTACTCTTTTTTATCTTTTATGTACGATTGTATGAACAGAATGAAAGCCGTTTTTGTTCTCTCCTTGTATTTGTAATTATTTCGAATTATAGTTTTGAGATAAATGTTCTGAACTACAGAATCTTTATCGGTATTTATAATCAAGAAAAAAGCAAAGACGTCAAATATTATGCGGTTTATTCAGGAACCTCTGTACCAAGACGACAAGAACTATGCTATTTATTCAGGAACACTCTGTACCAAGACGACAAGAACTATGCTATTTATTCAGGAACACTCTGTACCAAGACGACAAGTACTATGCTGTTTATTCAGGAACACTTTGTACAAAGAATGATTAAGAATAGTTTAAATGTATAATTTGCATGTTCTTTAGTTGTTAATCCAGGAAAATAAGGAACTTTTGTTCTAGACTTAATGCCAAGATAAAACAGTTTACACTGAAAGTTAAACAAGGAAAACTTTGAAATGCCTGTAGAATTACGGAAACAACGGAATGTGGGGAAAGGGAAGTTTAGTTGTAAACCTACAAAATAAACGTTTAACAGTCAATAAAACTGAAGATAAACTAGATTTTATGTTATATTGATTTCATCTTTACAGAACAATCAAATTCAAATAATCTTTTAAACATATTCTACTTTATTTACACAGGGTTACCAACAAAGAATGGGAATAAAATGACGACCATAAGTTAAGAATTTGAAATTTTTAAATTCCGCAAAGTACTCTCTAAATTCTATTTGTTGGCAACCCTGTACCTTAATGAATTATAAAAGATTTGATTATTGATAACAATATTGTGCGTCCTGTACGTAGCATTCTGGATCAATATTGTGCGTCCTGTGCATAGCATTCTGTATCAGTATTGTGCGTCCTGTACATAGCATTCTGGATCAGTATTGTGCGTCCTGTAAATAGCAGTCTGGATCAGTATTGTGCGTCCTGTAGGTAGCAGTCTGGATCAATATTGTGCGTCCTGTACATAGCAGTCTGGATCAATATTGTGCGTCCTGTAGGTAGCAGTCTGGATCAATATTGTGCGTCCTGTATATAGCAGTCTGGATCAATATTGTGCGTCCAGTAGGTAGCAGTCTGGAACAATATTGTGCGTCCTGTGCATAGTAGTCTGGATCAATATTGTGCGTCCTGTACATACCAGTCTGGATCAATATTGTGCGTCCTGTGCATAGCATTCTGGATCAATATTGTTCGTCCTGTGCATAGTAGTCTAGATCAATATTGTATGTCCTGTGCATAGCAGTCTGGATCAATATTGTGCGTCCTGTGCATAGCAGTCTGGATCAATATTGTGTGTCCTGTGCATAGCATTCTGGATCAATATTGTGTGTCCTGTGCATAGCAGTCTGGATCAATATTGTGCTTCCTGTGCATAGTAGTCTGGATCAATATTGTGTGTCCTGTGCATAGCAGTCTGGATCAATATTGTGCGTCCTGTGCATAGCAGTCTGGATCAATATTGTGCTTCCTGTGCATAGCAGTCTGGATTTATATTGTGCGTCCTGTGCATAGCATTCTGGATCAATATTGTGTGTCCTGTGCATAGCATTCTGGATCAATATTGTGTGTCCTGTGCATACCAGTCTGGATCAATATTGTGCGTCCTGTACGTAGCAGTCTGGATCAATATTGTGCGTCCTGTAGGTAGCAGTCTGGATCAATATTGTGCGTCCTGTACATAGCAGTCTGGATCAATATTGTGTGTCCTGTAGGTAGCATTCTGGATCAATATTGTGCGTCCTGTGCATAGCATTCTGGATCAATATTGTGCGTCATGTGCATAGCATTCTGGATCAATATTGTGCGTCTGTTCATAAACTTCTTTATTCAAAAAGAATTATATACTATGTTTCACGTCTTAAGACGATCCACAGTGGTAAAATTTTTATATATTTTAAAGATTTGAATATATTTAAAACACATTTTCACATTTATTTAGACTTTAGCTGTAGTTTCAAGTGATTTTCCAATTGTAGTTTGGCATTTCCGATTCAGAACAGTACCTTAAACTTTTTTCTGAACATTGACGAAAGGGAAATATTCTTGTTTTCCTCGTGGAAAAGCTGAAAATTAAGTGTCAACGACTGGGAAAGGAATTGAGTTTTTGCCACAAATTAAAATCTTCTGATTCCAATATCTTTGGAATCTGATGGTGCAAACCTTTGATATTTCAAACTTAGATTATTTTATCTATACGTATTAATAGTTTGAAATGTCTAAGGTCTACGCCATTGGGTTACAAAGATATAGAGATTAGAAAATCAGAGATTGTGGCAAAAACTCAACTCCTTTGAGTAAAGTGTGAATATCAAACAAAAGACGTCCCATATTTTCAAATATCTAATGTCGGATGTGGCTTTCAAAAAGTTGAACAAAAATATTTATTTCTGTACATTTTAAATATAAAATATCAACAATAAGTCGATTTTTTGTGAATCAAATATGTGAGGACTCAATTTTCAGTTTGAAAAAAAAATATCCCTATCCTTGATCAGACAAAGCTTAAAAAAAGTTTTCTATATAATAAAGCTCTCTACTAATATAAATTTATATGTTAGCTAAATTTATGCTTTTATTAAGATTATAAGATTTGAATAGAACAACAGCTCGATATGTGAGCATGTGAGTGAGCCCTGATTGGAGCAAACGCTAATGGGCGTGTGAAACTTCTGTGATTCACGGTCTTCTTTCCGTCCTGGCATGAACAAGAACATTTCTCAGGAAAAGGGATTTGTGGTTTTTGTTTGGCAAACATTTTCCCCAAAAAATATAAACAGGGTATCGTTGTGAGTCAATAAGACACGATACTTGAAGTCCAAAGTTCATATAAAGGGAGTGTCCGCGAAAAATGAAAGGGGGTATAGGCTTAGTGCGATAAAAAAGCGCTTTTGATCGATACTAATCTTACTTCTATCTGTTGCGTCTATAAGGAGAAAATTATTAAAGACGTCTCATACGGAATAACTTAGCGGCCATACAAATTCCGAAAATTGCAAATTTGTAAAAAAATCAATTTAATTTCAAACAAATCATTCAGATATTACAACCTATAGTCATCGATTATCTTTCGCCACATTTGTATATAGTTAATATTTTATAATATTTATGAGTTAATTTGTTTATTTCTCTTGTCGCTTGCGCAACTATCGAAGAATGCCGCACACCACTCACAATTTTCGAAATCCGTTGAAAACGTTTTCTAAAAAAATAAAATATTATAAAATATAAACTATACAAATGTGGCGAAAGATAATCGATGACTATAGGTTGTAATATCTTAATGATTTGTTTGATATTAAATTGATTTGTTTACGGTCTAAGTCGTATGTTGCAATTTTCTGAATTTGTATGGACGCTAAGTTATTCGGTATGAGACGTCTTTAACAATTTTCTTCTTAAAGACGCAACAGATAGAAGTAAGATTAGTAGCGATCAAATGCGCTTTTTATCGCATTAAGCCTATACACCCTTTCATTTTTCGCGAACACTCCCTTTAACAAAATCCAACAACAAAAAGTAATGCTTTCAAATTAAAGATTTTAAACACACACGGCACAAGTGATATGATTACAACAAATACTGAATTAATAATTTAAAATATATTTTTATAAAACTGAAAGCTCATCTTCCATAGTTCGCTCTATTTTAAGAATACAATTAATTTAAACCTTTAAATATCATTCAACAATTATTTTAAAATATCACTGTGTGGCGGCGTAGTGGCGGAAGACGAAGTTCTGGAGGAGTTTAAAACCGAATATCAAGACGCGGCAGGTTGAGCAGTTTCCGGCCACGTCATCTATCTATCTTTTACTTTTGCATAAATTTCAGTATTTTAAAGTAGTAATAAAGTAATTATTTAAACAGGTGTTTATTAACTTGAGCGTAGCTAAAACTGTTCAATATTAATTCGATGAATTTCGATATTTTGAAAATTTTAGAAATTAAATGAATGAAGCAACTTAAATCACTTTACAATAAAACATATGTGAAGACATATTATAGGATTTCAAGAGTAAGGAACAAAACAACTTGAAAGGATCCGACTTTGAGTCTTTGTCGCAAACTCAAATTTTCTAATCCCTATATCCTTGTAACCTGAAGGCGTAACAGAATCATACTAGTTTGAGTCAAATAGATTATCAAGAGCAATAAGTGGCAACAGAAATTTTTTTTTTTATATATATTTATTTTATGCTAATCCATTTAAATATTTCAACAGGTTTACATTACAATTACAAGATATAGCATTACATTTTCATCATTTTCATAATTTCCCTCAATCTTAAATCTAGTTCAACCTTTGTAGGTCTTCGTTCAGGCTCGGGGACAGGCACAGGATTAGGTGCAGGTTCAGGGTGAGGATGAGGTTCAGTTTCAGGTTCAGCTTCAGGCTCAGAATCAGGGTTAGAGTCAGGATAGGGTTCAATTTCATACTTAGAGCTTTCATGTCTATTTTCCCCGTCCAGCTGAGGAATAGGAGATACTAGAGATTGAGATTGTGACTTTCTCTTCTTATGGGAGGTTAAATTTGAGGTTTCTTCAATACTTGGCGGTATCACAGAAACTATCTTAAGGGCCTTGAACCCTTCCTTGGACTGGGGGCCTCTCATGGACCTCTCCTCAGACTGCGGGACTCTCAGGGCACACCGGACTAACCAGAGTGAATAGCATTCGGTTTCTTCTATTTAAATTCAAACGTGTTTTGGTCTATAATTCAATAATCTTTTACTTTACGGATTTATTTATTCTAAACATTTTCATTCAAAATGCATATGCCGACAAAAAAGTATTCAAGAAAAAAGGCTATACAATTATGTCTAATGGGTCAAATTGTGATCGAAAGTCACAGCTTTCTGGAATATTGACAGAACCGTTAAATCCACGTGAGGGTCCTCTCCTCGGACTGGGAGTTCCTTGTGGACATCTCCTCGGGATTCTCTCTCCTTGGACTGGGGGGTTCTCAGGGACTTCTCCTTGGACTGGGAGTTTCTAGTAGACCTTTCCTTGGACTGGTAGTTTCTAGTGGACCTCTCCTCGGACTTGGGGGTGCTCAGGGGTCTCTCTTCGGACTGGGGGGTTCTCAGGGACCTATCCTCGGACTGGGGGGCTCTCATGGACCTCTTCTCGGACTGTGGGGCTCTCATGAACCTCTTCTTGAACTGGGGGGCTCTCATGGACCAGAAACAGAACAGTAAAATTGACCAATTATGCAAGACGCTACAATTGTCAAATATAAAAAGGAAAACAAAATTTTCTTACATTAATTGCTTTCCAAGATTAAATAATAAAAAAGTGTGAAAACAGAAAATAAAGAACACATAAAATTGCACTTATTTTACTGTAAGATAAGAATTTTATTCTAAAATTATCACTATCACTATCACTATTGTACCAGACACTATTTGGTTTGAAATATATAAAGTTGCGAAAGGTCTACGACATTAGGTTAGCAAAGATAAAGGGGTTAAGAATACAGAATTTGTAACAAAGACAAAATTCCTTTTTGTGGTTTAACAATTGTTTATGCATCTTAACTATTAAACACATAGTTTTGCCAATTTTTTAATCTTTATATTGATATGAAAATTGTAATATGCTTACAGCTGTTTTTCTGCAGCAGTTACATGCTCAAAAAAAAGAAATTCTTGCTTTCAAAGGCAACGAATGTGAGATGTTCAGAGCAAAGAGGAAAAATGAAATCTTTACCACAAACTCTGATTTAATTTCTAATCCCTATTTTTTCACAAATGTCATAGGTAGCTTTTAGATATTTAAAATCTGAAATTTTGTTTGATGTAATAATCTAAGCTTGAAATATTTTTTAGCATCAGGAATTTAAAAGATATAGGGATTAAAAATTTGAGTTTTTGGCGAAGACTCAATTTCTTTGTGAAATTATTCCTGGAAACTCTATAGTGAAGTTAAAATTGTAATTTGCTTTGTAGTTTTTTTCTTTGATTATTTCAATGTTTGATATGTTTTTTAGCTGATTGATGAGGCATGTTTACTCTTTAACTTTTAAACTCCATAAGTCATATCTGTTAGTGATCAATTTTTCTTTCTATCCATTTATCTATCTATCTGTCTGTCTGTCTGTCTGTCTGTCTGTCTGTCTGTCTGTCTGTCTGGCTGTCTATCTATCTATCTATCTATCTATCTATGGTACCAGTACAAACGTCGGACCCACAAACGTCGGACGGTACAAACGTCAGACAGTACAAACGTCGGACCAGTACAAACGTCGGACCAGTACAAACATCGGACCAGTACAAACGTCAGACTGGTACAAACGTCGGACCAGTACAAACGTCGGACGGGTACATTTATATGGAAAAACGTCGGACTAAGGAGGAAAAAATATAAATGAATTTTCAGACTAAAATTCTTGTAAATTCGCAATTTTCTCTCAAAAAAATTCCCAATTTTTTTTGTTAAAAATTCTTAATCTCACAAAGTCTGGATACATGGACGAGGAGACTGCTAACTATGTTGAGGTCAAGCAGGGGGGAGGGCACCTACTTGATTCAAATCAGTTTGAATATAGGGTTACAAAAAAGAAACCCAACAAAAACTATTACCAATGCATTCAAAGGAAAAACAATTCTTGTCCTTCAGGAGCAGTTGTAAACAATGAGAATGACAAGAATATCAGTTTCCTGAGAGAGCATACACATGACAGTGATCTTTTGAAGAAACGAGAACGTGAAATAGGAAAACAAGTAGTTAAAGAAAGCTCTGGAAATATAGCAATAAGTCCACAAAATGTTCTTGGAAACATCTAACATCGGGTTGCAAAGATATAGGGATTAAACTGTATGATCTTGTAGAATTCATATTTTGAAATTTTTTAAAACAGTGGTCCATTCCAAATCTACCAAGTCCGACGTTTTGTCTCATAAATGTACCCGTCCGACGTTTGTAATGGTCCGACGTTTGTACCAGTCTGACGTTTGTACTAGTCTGACGTTTGTACTAGTCCGACGTTTGTACTGGTCCGACGTTTGTGCGTCCGACGTTTGTACTGTCAGACGTTTATGGCGTCCGACGTTTGTGCGTCCGACGTTTGTACTGGTACCCTATCTATCTATCTATCTATCTATCTATCTATCTATCTATCTATCTATCTATCTATCTATCTATCTATCTATCTATCTATCTATCTATCTATCTATCTGTTATATATCGGATTGAAGTGTGCTGAACTTGTGACCAAAGTGCTATAAAATCAGTTTCATGATGATAGAAGGATAGAAGGAAAGAAGAATAGAAGGACAGAAGGATAGAAGGATAGAATTAAGGAGAGAAGTAAAGAGATGTAAGATCTAGTTTTACAGAAAATTCTTATTTTAATGATTAATTCATCTATATGGGAAATACACTTTATCATTTTATTTTTTAATAAGAAAGACACAATTTAACTATAAACTTCCAGAAAAATTCCCCTCAAAGGGACTGTTAGTGTTTTTTTAAGTGACCCCCTATTTAAAAATAAAAAATGGAGCATGCACAAATCAAAAAGTTCCTGTTTTAGACGTTATCTGGTCACTAATGTAGATGAAAACTTACTCCATTGCTTCTGTAAAAGCAGATATACTCAAGTCACATTTTTAGAGAAACCACAAATAAAAACAAGCAAAGTATAAAAAGAGAAACATTGAATAGCTTATTCATTCTCGGTCAGACAAAGTTTAAAAAGGTAACACCAATTATTTTATATTTGTATATAAATATGTAAATAATTTTTTATTTCTTAATCTACAAATTGTTCTTTTATCAAGGAAAAGTTTCTTCTGTCGCGTGATTTTTAATAAAAATTCCTTCTCAAATATTTTCAGAAAAGGATGAAATAAATTTGTATAAATGTGACTTTTACGATATTATTTATATTTCTGAGCATATTAAGCAAGGTTGCAAGTGCTTCTGGGAATTATTCTTATTCTTGGTTTTAAGCTAAACAATTCCAAAATTAAATTAATATCAGCATAATGTGAACCAGTAAGGATTCACAATTGTAAATAATACAGTACAATTTAATGCCCCCAAGTGAGATATGTTTGTAGGCTGACAAACCAAACCCAAACCAAGCTACAAAGGGTATTGAACCCTTGATATGTTTGAGTATGACAACCCAACCCAAACCAAGCTACAAAGGGTATTGAACCCTTGATATGTTTGTAGCCTGACAATCCAACAAGTCACGCCCCAAAGGACATTGAACCCTATTCAAGTTTAGCTGATTCAGCTAGAGAGGGTGGAGCTAGGTACCTATTCATGTCGGAGAAAGGGATTCTAACAATACTCCAGGCCAGAGTAGACAGGAGCATGATCGGCCATGTTATCCCCTGCTCAAGCCAGTTATCATCAAGTACCCAATCTTGGTTTCTACAAAATAATAATGATCTCAATTATTGATTAAAATACAAAAATTATATTTTGTACTTTACAATTAATCAATTTGTAATGAAATACAAATGAAATAATTACAATTTACTCTAGAGAGGTTTGGTTCATACATACATCAACTGCAACTAGATAAAAGAAATATTGAAAAATTAAGTTAAATTTACGTCTCCGGGTAGCTTTAGATCCCAGACCGCCTACATCTGTAGGTAGGCCAGATCCATGGTGTCTAAAAATATAATATTTAAATTTATAATTAATTATTAAGTACCAAAAATGAATAAGTTACCTAAGATTGCATGCCTGAAGTTCAGGGGTCCCTGAAGCTCCTTGCAGAACCAGGTGTCTGTAAAAATATAATATTAAAAATTTACAATTTATAATTTTATATGAATTCTTAAAAAACATTACATACCTAGGGAACAGTCTATTGAGTTTATTAGTTAAGACAAGGTCCCTCCAAATATTCCAAAATAATTTAATAAATAACAAATGTATTATTTTAAGTATAAATAGTTACTTAGCTCAAATCCAGCCTCAAGAAGCTGAGAGGCCAGGTATTCGTCTAGCTGAGGTTCTTCACAAGCAGCTCTAGGGTTTTTAACTAACATTAAATGGATATTTCAAATCAATTTATATTATACTATAGCTAATTTATTTCAATATGTTACTGTACAGGGGCGTAAATAAGGATTCTGTAGGGGGTTATAATTAACTAATCTAATACATTAGATCAAAAAAGGGCCACAGCTATTATGCTATTATGCAGCTATTACGGACAGGGAAGGGGTTGTGCATTTAGAGCCGTTTGCACTTTTTTTAGAATGTTGGCAAGTTAAAAACTTACTCGATCAGCAAGTCCTTCGGTGCCGTATATTCCGACCTAGATGATTCTAACCTAAAGGTTTTCTGGCCTAAATATTGAGTAGTTTGCACGTGTTTTAGGTCGGTTTGATTGAAAAAAGCTTTAGGTCCCTTTGACATCCTATGATTAATATATAGGTTTTCCGACCTAATATTTTGAGATATATTTAGGTTGGTTGAGCATATATATTAGGTCTGTTTACCAGGAAGTTTAAGTTGGATTAGTGACAATTTTAGGTCTGTTAAGCAATATGTTTAGGTTGGTTGAGCAATTTTTTTAGGTCGGATGAGCAATTTTTTTTTGGGCGGATGAGCAATTTTTTTAAGGTCGGATGAGCAATATTTTTAGGTCGGATGAGCAATTTTTTTAGGTCAGATGAGCATTCGTTTTAGGTCAGATGAGCAATATTTTTAGGTCGGATAAGCAATTTTTTTTAGGCCGGATGAGCAATATTTTTAGGTTGTTTACCAATAATTGCCATAATTGTGAACTGTACCACTACTGTTTCAGTAATGCTTAAAACAGGGTTTTTGAGGGGGGCTCAACACCCGTTGGGGCCTGTACATGCATCTCATATTTAAAACATGGATAAAATTGGTCTTTCCTGGCCGCAGCGCTCGGCCCCCCTAGCACGTCCTATCCGCAGCGCTTGGCCCAGAATTGAGCTTAACCTAACCTAACCCTAAAATAATACTAAATAACTTAAATCATTTGGTAATTTCCTAGAGAACGATTTTTGGACCCCCTTCCCCCTCCTATCAATTTTTTACAAGACTTTTTCAACAATTTTCAATTAAATGTAAGACATGTGGCCCCAGTGCTCGGCCCCCTAGCCTGTCCTAGCCGCAGTGCTTGGCCCAGAAAGTGTCATAGCTTAACCTAACCCATGGTCGCAGCGCTCAGCCCCCTAGCCTGTCCTAGCCGCAGCGCTCGGCCCAGAAATGAGCTTAACCTAACCTAACGTATATATACACTAATTTTATTTAAAAATTTTGAATTAAAGGTCTTTCCTGGCCGCAGTGCTCGGCCCCCTAGCCTGTCCTAGCCGCAGCGCTGGGCCCAGAAAGTGTCTTAACCTAACCTAACCCTAAATAAATACTAATTTAATTGAAAATTGTTGTTTATATGTTGTTAAACTTTATATTTAAACATTTAAAAAAAATATTACTCATCTATTATAACCTCTGAAATAAAAATATTACTCAACCAACCAAAAAAATATTGCTCATCCGACCTAAAAATATTGCTCAACCGACCTTAAAATATTGCTCAACTGACCTAATAAAATTACTCATCCGACCTAAAAAATTTCTCAACTGACCTAAAAATATTGCTCACCCGACCTTAAAATATTGCTCATCCGACCTAGAAATATTGCTCATCCGACCTAAAAATATTGCTTAACCGACCTAAAATATTGCTCAACCGACCTAAAAATATTGCTTATCCGACCTAAAAATATTGCTTAACCGACCTAAAAATATTGCTTAACCGACCTAAAAATATCGCTCATCCAACCTAAAAATATTGCTCATCCGACCTAAAAATATTGCTCAACCGACCTAAAAATATTGCTTAACTGACCTAATAAAATTGCTCAACCGACCTAAAAAAAATTCTCAACTGACCTAAAAATATTTCTCATCCGACCTTAAAATATTGCTCAACCGACCTAAAAAATATTGCTCAACCAACCTAAAATGAATCCTTATCTAACCTAAAATTGTTGCTTTAACCAACCTAAAACATATTCCCAACTGACCTAAAATATATTAATAACCGACCTAAATATATTTCCAATCTTTAGGTCAGTTTGGGACATTTCGCTAATCGAACCTACAGATTTTTAGGTCGGAAAAATGTTAGGTCAAAAAAACGTTAGGTCAGAAAAACGTTAGGTCAGAAAAACGTTAGGTTCGTTTCCTCTAGGTTCGATGAGCGGGTACCAGTCCTTCAAGTCCTTTTCCTCCTTTTTCGATTCAAACTTCATTTTCTTCGATGGTGTGGACATTTCTGAAACTAAGTTTTTAACATATAACTANCCGCCCCCCCCCCCGGCCCCCCCTCCTATCAGTTTTGTACATGACCACTTTAGTATTTATTTAGGGTTAGCTTAAGTTAAGACACTTTCTGGGACGAGCGCTGCGGTTAAGACAGGCTAGGGGGACGAGCGCTGCGGTTAAGACAGGCTAGGGGGTCGAGCGCTGCGGCCACGGGTTAGGTTAAATTAGACGTACTTTCTTTGTAAAAACTACAAAATTGATAGGAGGGGGGGGCCGGGGGGGGGGCGTCCAAAAATCTTTCTCTAGGAAATTACCTGTATTTCAAATAATAATTATGAAGTGCGAACAATAAAAAGGTATATTAATTTTATTATGAATATATGCAGTGAAGAACTGGCACAAAAAATGCCGTAAGTGCAACTGCAGTGTAGAATGCCGATGATATATTCATTACTCATACAAAAAAAAAGGATAATCCAAACCGATCTTGCAAGCATTAATGTAATTAGCTCAAAAGTAAAAAGATTCTTTTAATATAAGATATATCACCGAAGGTAAATTCAACTGTACTGTTGGTTTCGTACTTCGTAGCCATCTTGGATCTAATTCAGGGATGAGTTCCGTTTACTTGGAATTAAATTCTGCAAATTTCGGAATTGTTTTCTGAACTTAGAATTATATTCTTTTTATATCGGAATTGAGTTCTAATATATAAAATACAGAATCAAATTCCGATAATGACAGAATATTCTTTCCTAAATTAAGAAAATGATTTCCGGGATGAAAAGGATTCATATTCTGAAATTAAGGAAAGGGATATCCTTAAAAGTCGGAAAATGATTCTCATTTATAGGGAACTTATTTCCATTTCCATTTCCATTCCCCGTGTGTGTTTACAGTGTAGGCTCTTCTCCAAAGAGCTCCTATTAAGTTAATTTAAGAGTATAATCCTGCATATGCTATATTAATATTAATATAATTACAATTATTTAGTACGTATGGAGTAATTTGAGCCTTCTTTCCTTAAACTTCAAGAGTTGTTTCTTGATCTGACAGTGTTATTGTCTGAAATTACATATGTGACATGTATTTACTCCGTTTATTCCATAACTTTATTTAATAAAAATTATCTCACCAAAGATATTTAGAAATTCCCTCTGAGAGATCCCTGAACGAGGTCAGTGGATTAACTTTATTCCACATAGAGGACAACTGTACAACCCCTCTAATTATTATTCATTTAAAGTTTGAGTTTAAGTTTTTTGAAAAAATCTCTCCTTTAATTAGGTTCACAGCTCCTGGATGTTCATTTAATAAAACTGGTTTTTAAACAAATAATCAAAGCACACGAAATAAAATATTGTTAAGAATAATAATATATTGTAATTAAATCTGTAAACCTGTGAATAGAAACAATAATCATCTCTAAGTCTATCTTCTAATGGGTTTTTAAACATTCTTAATGTATACCTACATTCTGAATTTTATCAACTAGAATCAGTTTTTTCTATCCTCATTCAACTTCAACATCTAAAGTTGGCTTTATAAGATGCAGTATTTGAGTGGTCAACAACACCCTTCTCTCCTTTGTATTGAATTTTCTATGAAAAAAAATATATCTATTAGGACTGTAAATCTTTATGTAATAAATGTGGAACATGGATACTCCATCTACTGTCATAATAATCTCAGAATATTAATTTCTATAAAACATTTTCCAAGAAATGATGATTGGATGGCCCAAGAAAGAGATCTTCTAATTCATTTTAAATTTTCAAACTTTCTACATCTCATTAGATTATTTTTTTTAGCCTGAAGGATTCTTGGAGTCGCACTGTTCTAGAAATCTAGGAAAATATTAGTGGGTTCCTTCTCTCTCACTCCACTGACCTGAAGAAAAATAGCACTTCTATTAATATTCCAACCTGGGATTATGGAGGAACTTTAATATTTACCTGTTAGTAATTTGTTGCAGAGGTCTTAGTCCACCCTTGATGATACTTTTCATTTTACCCCTGGAAAGATTATATCAGAATACACTAGTAGTATCTTTAGGGCCAAACCTAGAGAATTAAATAACAGTTTTTCTATTAATTATTTCATTATTTTAATATTATGAATTTATTTACATTGTCAACCAGATGTAGGAACTGTTGTTTGATGTAGTTTTCTGTTTTAGGTAAAGTGTAGTGTGTACTGTGCATTTTATTAAAGAAGTAATGAAGAATTAAGCATACCAACATTAGGTCGTCAATCAGAAAATAGGCCTAAAAAACCTCAAACTCCGCAGTTGTAGCATGGTCGTAGGTTTTAAAATGGGTTCCATAAACTCATCTAGGCAGACGAGGCTGCCAATAAAACTAGGATCCATTAAAAGCTTGAGTTATATTCCCACCCTGCTCTTGGACACTCTCAGGGACATCAATTTCTCTAGTCATCAAGTGAAGAGTCTTGAATATCAATACTATATTATCTTTAAATTTCCTACATGATACAAGTCTTGTTGACCATCTTTAAAGACATACAGTTATATTTACAGGAAAAAGGCGAACTAAATTAATTTTTAATCAAAACTAATGAAAAATTTTCAATATTGAAAACACATGAATATACAGGTCAGAGGTCCACCCACATAGAATTTGAGACTTAAAAGACTACCTAAGAATCTTTCTATATAGAACAA